GCAAATGGTGGGTCATTCTTGAATGTCCTAAAGGAAATTGTTATATAGCTACCAGTGAATAGTCCTCTGGAGTCAAAATCAAAGACTCAATACAAACTGTATCAAACTTTTTTTTTTTTTTTTTTTTTTTTTTTTTAATAGATAGAAAAGCCTGACATCCTGTGCCAAGGTTTAAGTCTGTAGCCAGAACTGATTTCCTAAAAGCACTTGTTCTCCTGTTATCATTTTGACTAAAGAATGAACCTCAGCTGGCATCAGGGAACAAAATCCCACCAGTGGATGAACTCACCTGTCCTATGCAGCTAGAGTTCTAGTCTGTTAGCCTTTTCTGCATAAAAAATAAGATGAATGCTTAAAAGTGCGATTGTAATTTTCTACTTGATAACTTTCTCCAGCTGGGTGCCCAGCTTACTACTTTTCTATTCTCGACTCAAGAAGTACAAGAACTGCAAATTGATTTTATAAGGATTTAATTAAATTTGTGCTATGACCTGCAATGGGGTGTAATTCATTCAAATAAAAACTCTGATTGCAGCAAGGCCAAGCATGGTCATTAGGGCTTATCCTTTGAACCCTGTTTCAGTCAGCAGGGACCAGTAACAGTCTTTCTAGTTTATCCAAATGATCCGCAGCAAATGCAAATTACTTCTGTAGCTACTCTGTGTCCACTTGAGCCTGAGCATATGAGGTTAAATAACAGCTTAAACAACAAATGCAGGAATCCAAATCTTCTCCATTGGCCTCAGGCTGGGATTTCCCAAGGGATGTATCAGAGTGGCAAGACATTGCCATTTTCCATCATCGTTGCCATTTTCCATGCCTGCGTCTGATTTGCATGCGTAAAACCCAGTGAGAAATCAATGTGCCATTGGCACTGATGTGAATCCTCTGGAACTGAGATCTTGATTTTACAATGCAAACCATTGACTCCTGGCTGAATGCAACAGTGGTAATTTTAATTACTACCACTGTAACATTAAGAAAGTAGTTTGAATGCTAAAATTGAGTGCTATTTTTTTATTGAACTGCGTATTATGACTGCACGCAGACATAGGCATTCTCCACATTCACCTTAAAATGAAAGCAGCAGTACATCCAAATACACATTCTTAATTCACTGCTTTCGGTGCATTCATGCTCTTATGCCTTATTTATTTATTTATTTTACACTTGCCAGAACTCAGTCTACTGCAAAAACGCCTATGCTTTCTTTTGGAGGAATGTACATTTACAGAGCAAAGAAAAGAAGATTCTAATCACTACACTCAACTTGGAGTATAGAGAATATTTCCAATCACTTGAGCAAGAAGACACTTAGAAATATGAAAAGAGGAGTGATGCCCTCAGCCAGACTCAGTGCTTTGTGGAAATGTGACATAGAAAACCAAGAGCTTGCTTAGTGTGGTGATGTCCCTGAAATGAGCTGAGCACCGATGTTCTAGGTCTGGATATCCTATATTGTCAGTGATCAGCAGTAAAAGTCAGAAAAAAGTCAGAGACCTCTGGCTAACAGAAGGTCATTGGAAGTTTTGTCAACAGATTGTGTTACTATGAACTTTGGTGCCAAAGCATCCACCAGGAGTGCTCCCAAGCATTACCCAGATGCTGACACACAATTGCTGGTATGACTTGGGGATATGGGCAGTCATGTGAAATACATGCCAGTGCAATTGCTTGTTTGTTTTGATAAAAATCAACCCCCAAATTATATTGTGAATTCAGGTGAATATCTGGCTAAGCGTTCTCAAGGCCGCTGGAGATAGATGGGCTTCTCTTGATAGGGAAATCATTTTCTCATTCCAAAGCAGTTGGCATGGCTCACCTTTAGAGGCTCCTACTCAGTTCTATCCACTATGGAGAGAACTTCTATTTTATCCCTATATAACCTACATGATTTAGCTAGTGTCAAACAAAGAAGGAAGTGTAAGAATGAAAATCAGTAGAAATGAGCAGAAACAAATCCTTTTAGAGGTTGGACTCAGTTTCTAGAGGTCCCTTTCAACCTCTACAATTCTGCAATTTGTGATCTTGTGATTGGGTTGATAAAGGAATGATTTATTAGTATCCAGATTTTCTTTCAGCAAAAACTAGCAACTGCTTTGTCCTGTGTGTATCTTTATGATGGCTTCTACTCTAACACAAAGCATTTGGAATTTCCACATAGTTTAAAAGTAAAAAATACAGTACTGAAAAGTCAAAAGAAATTTTCCAGAAGAGCTTTTACTCTTATTCCCTGATAACCAAAGACAATCTGAATATCTACAACAGAAAACTAGAAAGCTGCTGTACATAATCCCCAAGGTCTTTATTTTCAAAGTTTAGATTAAACTATCTGCTTCAAAATGGACTTCATTGCAAGATTCCAGACACTTTACTATGAAAGCAGTAACTGAGCTCTAGAAAATCTGATCCCAAGAATAACTAATTCAGATCAAAATATCCTCTAAATTATTTAGCAGCAGTTAATGTACTGAATAAGAAGAAAAAATTTATGCACATCAAAGTAAAAGAAAAAGTTTTTAAAATCTTTCTCAAGAAGTCAATAAAAACCCTTCAATAGTTAACTGCAAATCTTTCATTTAATAGATTTTATGATAAAATGTAACCACGATATCACTTTATACATAGAAGTATCCAGAAATTAAAATTACTCTGAGAGAAAACCTCTAATCATGGTGTGGAGGCATTTATCATCTATCTTCAGCTGGTCCGTAAACCTTGACTGACATTTAATTTCTTTGCATGTTGGTATCTCTCTCTATAAAATGAAAATAACAATGTTTCTGACTTATCTGAAAATTCACACGTCAATAATTTTAAAGGATTTAGGGATCTTCAAACAGAAATGCAAAGTACTGTCATTGTGTAACAGTCAAACAGTATTTTTCACTTTTCCACCTACTTTGTGCTGAAGTATTTGTTTACTTTAGCAGAAGATTTGTTTGTGTTAATGCTGTTTTTCATACTAACATCATAGCTTGGGTGATAGACTGCCATTAAAAGCTTTTGATTCTCATTTATTCATTAAACAAGATCTGAGCAGTATGATCATAACATTTTAAAACCTATTAATATTCTTCATTCTTCGAGCTAGTTTGGCCAGTTCAATCAATTACATCCTCTGGTTTCCAGCAACTCCTCAAAAACTACACTATCTCATGTCTGGTCCTTTCTAACTCCAATATACTCTGAATTCCAGATTTTACTGCCTTTCCTTCCTTACCTGCAGCCCCAATATACCTCCACAAAAATCCCCAGAGAAACCCCTTTTCTGTGCCCAAGATCTTCTTTGCAGGAGACTCTTCCGCTGGAAGTGAGATTCCTGGTGCAGCTTTATGAAGTTCACTAAATTCAGCTCAACTCCACTCATCAAATTATTGAACAGAGAGAGTGGTGAGGTGCTGGAACAGCCTGCCCAGAGAGGCTGTGGATGCTCCATCCCTGGAGGTGTTCAAGACCAGTTTGGATGGGGACCTGGGCAACCCTAGGTGAGTGCCAGATCTGGAGTTTGGCAGCCCTGCCTGTAGGAGGGGGTTGGAACTTGATGATCCTTGGGGTCCCTTCCAAGCTAAGCCATTCTATGATTCTATGCAATACCTGCCCCATCAGATATCTTCTTATCCCTCTTTTCACGCCAACCCTAAAAGTAGGGTTGGCATGAGAGAGGGTTGTTGGTAAGAGAGTGAGAGGATAAGAGATTAGAAAAGGTATATAGAAAGGTAAAAGTAAGGAAGTAGGATACAGCTTCTATCAGCTTCTATAGAGACTTCCTATCTCACAGTCAGAGAAAAATGGATATGGAAATAACTAGTTTTCATACGTTAACTTGAGCTGCAGATGTAAATATTACACCAAACTCAGTCTGAAAAGCTCTTTGAGAGTAAACACCTTAAGTGAGCTGCTCCACTGGCATGGCCATGTTCTCCCTAACTTCTCATCTCATCTCTGTACTGATTTATTGCAGTGTACATATATTTTCTGGTGTACTCTACTGCAATGGCTTCGGTTCAATCCAAAGATCCCAAACACAGCACTGTGACCTAATTCCAAGGCAGTTTGTATCATCATGGTAGGTTGTTAGAGAAAGGAATTTTTTTTATTATTATTATTTTTTTTTTTTTTTGAGAACATGGTTTGTGAAGAAGACATTTGAAAGAATTGAGCTAACACAGAGAATTCAGATCAATAAGGAGTCATAGAGAGGAAAATCAACAGGAGAAAAAAAATGTCTCTTCTGTGTGGTGGGTCAAGCTGGTAAAGCACTGATTTTTTTTTTTCTCAGCAGAGTATGACCTAAGAGTGGATTGTATGAGGGAAGGGAGTTCAAGGGCTCAGACCTCACTTGAGATCTCCTTCCCATTCATTTTCTTTTTCCTACAAACAACAGCTGTAGTATAATTTTGAAATAATGATCCATTCCTCTCCAGGGAATTTTTTATTTTTCATTTTCTATTAAAAAACATGGGAAGAACAACCTACTCAAACTGGATTATTTCATTTCTAGAAAGCCCCTTAAAATGTCACTAGCCATAAAACAAGAGCAAACCACTTTTGTATGGAAAAAAAAGATGAAGAAATTGAAAGAATTGAAAAATCATCCATTTTGTTTGTGGAAATCTCATGGGAGAATGGAGATGAAAATTATGGATAGCCATCCTCAAAACAGAAGACGAATATTTTCTCTTCATTGGAACTGAATAACCACAGAAGTTTACTACCACATCTTTTGAGTTTTTTCTACTTATGGAGTTTTTTCTACAGTTTTTGATTGTTCGTTTTACAGTTTTCTACATTTAACTTCACCCCTAAGACTGAAGATGCACAGATTCACCTGGATCCCATTTTGCATTCCAGAATTAGGGCAGGACAGATTTTCAGCCCTACAGATCAACCCTCAAACAAATCTCTCATCTTCATTTATCCAGTTGAATTTTGACATAACACACAACAGCCTAAAAGACAAGAACAGCATTTTGAAATTCCAGAAGTCTGTTTTGAGAAGCAACAGAATTCTTCCTGGAGTCTATGCTGAGTTCTGCATCCAGTACCACATGCAATCAATTTACTCCAATTCTCTCTGCTGCTAGGGACTAACAGCTGGTTGTTTTGATCCAAATGGCAATGATTAAGGTCCTAAAGTCAATTAGTTTTATTTTTTTTCCCCATTGATTTCAAAAGACTTTGGATCAGGTCTTGATGGTTCCTAAATAAGATGAAAAATACAGAGGGCAGCTTTGCACGAAGATATTAGGGAAGCGGGGAGAGAAGAAAGGAGAAGACAGAAGAGAAATATAACTAATTTCTTCATAGGAGTAGAAGGTGATCTTCAAAAATATTCTTTCAGTTTTTAACATAGCCCCTTAGTGTACATGAAAATGTTACAAACAAAAAAAAAAAATCATTTTTTGATCTTACTGAGATCTCTGTCGAATTCTTGTCACATTTGATTAGCTTTATTGCAAAAACGTTCTCAATTAACAAGCCTAATAATATTTGGAAATAAGATCCATATGACTTCTCACTTTTGTTTTAATAAAAGTAAGTCTAGATTTCTCCTTATGTCATTTCCAGTGCTCATACTTGCTGCTTTAATACTATCAGTATATGAAAAGCTCTTTAGGGTAAGAAAAAGGTATATGAAAGAGGCAGTGCAGTAATCATCTGAGAGCTACCTCAAGTTCTCTTCAACGCCACCTCTTTTCTGGTCTAAGTTCACAATTTCCTGAGTTTTGTTTTTCACGTATAAAAAAGTGTTACTTTCTATTAGGAAAATCTTAAGGGGAAAAAAAAAAGAAGAAAAATATTCAATGCGAATGTTATTAACACTGTTGACAATGCTGAATATTGCTTTTTTTCTGGCACTATCTATGCTAAATATAAAGACAAAGATGAATCAAGTTGCAGTTCATAGGGGAATCCTAAAAACTGTGGTGGGTAACTTCTGTAGGTGATCTACTGCTCAGAGATAGCTGCCATGCAACCTGAGCCTCATCAGTGGCAGCAGCAGTCAATCTGGTTTTTGAAGGTGTTGGAGTAGCCAAAGCTGATAGACAGTTTGCTATCAGCACAAAGTTGCTTGCTTTGCTCACAGACAGAAGCACCTCTGAAAAATAACAACTCATAGCTTAACCTTGATCTCTTAAGAGCATAAACCTCCCCTGAGTTGAACAGGCTTTGGGGTGACGTTATTTCTCTTCACGCAGCAATAGAGTACTGCTGTAAATTATCTGTTCCAGCAGTGGAGGACACCAGGTTGACAAACCAGTCTTTAATCTCCGCACTATGTTTGCAACTGCTACAGGAAATTGTTTTCTCTTATCATTTTCAGCAGAAATGACAGGCTGGTCTTTTTCCACATCATTAATATCATTCTAGCCCATGGCTGTATGTGCCGCACAAAAATGAGACTTCTGTTAGTGTGAAATTGGAGGATGTACATTTTCTCACATTGTGTCCAACAGAAGCAAGGCTGGTTTCTATCTAAGCCAATTCATAATGTCCTGTATTCTTTCTCACGTTGTGCCCTGGCTGCAAAGACCTGTTTGCAGCTGCAGCTATCACAGCTTTTCATCCATGCTTCAGCACATCCTGCAGGACTGCATCTAATATCAACAAGGAGATTTCACTGTGAAAATGATACATGCTTTCAACATAGACCACACAGCCCTATTTTTACCACTCTGTAAGTGTTGTGAGTAGCTATATAAGAGTTTTTAGTATTACAGTTGGAACTACGGTGTGAATCAGCGATTTCCTAAGCTTGCTAGTTTGTTAAAAATGAATTCAGTTCTAACAGAATGGCATAGATTCTTCATTCTAAGAATCAAATATCTAGTTTTCATTTCACACTGTTTGAAAACTGCTCAGAGGTAAGCACTAGGTCATTTTTAATTGGTAAATCAACACAGTTGACATGATATTTAAATAGGAAGATCTGTTGTCCCAGTCTTTCACTGTCAGAGGAATGAAATGGAGAAATCAAGAAGTTGTTTAGTATATTTCATGGTGTAAGACTGTTGCTGCTGTATCCTCTAGAAGTGTGGTCTGCAAAATGGCTTGCAGAAATAAGGCGTTCTGGGTAAATACAATTCCTAAAGTAGAAGGGAGAAAAGCAACCAGAATGGGCACCAGAACAACCAACTTGGTTAATGCAGAAAAGCTTATAATAAAAACAATTGATGGGCAAAGTATAGAATCATAGAAAATTGAAAAAGACCCCTAAGATCATAAAGTCCAACCATGCCCACTAAACCATATTCCTCAGTGCCATGTTTCTATAGTTTTGGAACACCCCCAAAGAAGGTGATTCCACCACTTCCTTGGGCAGACTGCACCAATGCCTGACCATTCCTCCCAAGAAGAAAGTTTTCCTGATATCCAGCCAGAATATGTTTCAGATTCCTCAGGCAATTGAGTTAGTATCTCAGGGAAGTATCTCTGTTCATTTGGGAACATTCTGCGTGAGACCTGAGATCCAAGTGCTCATGACTGCACTTTTGTCAAGACCTAAGCAAGTTTTTGGTAAGTAATTGCCAATTTAAATGTAGAAGCTATATGGGAATGACAGTGTCCCTTCTCACATATATTCATAAAAGGTTAATTCTTGGAGCCAGTGCCAGAAGGACATGGAGGGAAACTAAGCTTCAGTTGTGATGAACATGATAATAGATTATTTTCTGTTTCTTCCATCTTTCTTTTGTGTGTTTTTTCTTTTGTGTGCCTTTATTCTTTTCATTTTCACAACTTCATAAGCTTTCCAAGTTCATTGTAAGTCACTACTGAACATTTATTTCAGATGACCTGTGGCTGGTTTTGCTTGCCAAGAATTTCTGGTGAGCAGATTTGTCTCTGTGTGTACTTGTAGAAAAAGGGAGGGAGAATTTTACATTGGTATTAGTGCAAGTGAGACTAAGCCAGGCATCAGATTTGCACAAAAAGCTTGAGCATCTGATCTTCTAAATGCAAAAAAAATATATAGCAAAAAAATAAAGGAAGTTTCCTTGGTAAATGGTTTAAGATTCAGGACTATAAGAGAGACCGGAATTTTTTTCCTATGCTTTAAGGCTGGGCAAAACTCTATCTTAAGTAATTTACAAGACTAAGAAGTTGATGCTTAATAAATTATCCTAAAGCTGCTCTAAAAAGTTGCTCTGAAGTGCATAACATTTTATAGCACCATGCTAGTTAAAATTTCCCAAAAACTTTACAATATTCCTCTAAATGTTGAGTTTCATTCCTATTTTCCTAAAGAATGAATTGAGGACTTAAGATGCAGGATGATTTACACTGGAAGAACTTGCATTTTAGTAGCTGCTCAGGGAATAAAACCCCATGAAGATGATTGTCCATGCAAGAAGTAATAATCAGTCCTCTAGAAAAAAAAAAAAAAACCAAGAAGGAAAAAAAGCTACTTTCTTTGTCCTAATGCTTAAGGGTGCCTGTTGTGCAAATGTAAATATTTATATCAGTATGGTTCTCTCAGGTTAAGTCTTACTTAGCAGACAAAAGAAAATAGGATTGATGTTTATAATCACATTCAGTGAAGTAGGCCTCTACCATCTGTGAAGTCAGTGTAAGAAAAAAATGCATTTTTCTCATGTCATTTACTTTTAATTTCTTTCCTGTTTTTAAAAGATGTGGTCTAATTAAAGAATGGATTGTGAAGAGGAGGAGCAGGAGGTGAAGAAATCTAAATGCAGTGTTTGAAAGCACCATATTGTAATTTGGGATTACAGGAAGAAGAAATAAATTTGCATGATGATGCCTTTCATATTTATTCAGTTAGAGAGGTGTTTATTGAATGCTTTAGGCAGAGAATAATGATGGCAAGCATGCTCAGAATCTCAACCACTACAAACAACAGACTAAATGTACTCTCTCCTTTTTAAATCAAATAGATTCAAAAGTTGTAGGCTCACTTGTACTTTTCTTGGCACATATGATAAAGCTGTCCCAAGAAGTAGCAAAATCTGTCTTGCAATCTTTCAAACGTTACTTTTGAAAAATACTTTAATAAATACACTTACTTAAATGAAGTAAAAAAATGAATTAATGCATGATGCTAGAACAAGCACCTTTGTCTTCACAACTAGATAAAGAAGAATAAATCAGGAAAGAAGATAAGAATGGCTGATGTACAGTATAAGAGATAGCAAACCAGAGCCACAAAAATGTGGTCTTGGCAACAGTAAGTGAAAAAACAGGGATGGTTCTCATCTGCTTCAATGAAAAGTGGAAGTTATCAACAGAAAAGGCCAAGTGGGCATGGTGCTTAATGTCTACTTTTCTCCAGTCTTCCATAAAATAATTATGATCTCCTAATAAAATCATACTAATCAAAAAAGTCAACACAGCTAATGCAAGAGGTACCTACAACTAGAAAACAGAAAGAAGATAGACAGTATTAGAAAATACTTTCATTTTCCATCTGACTTCATATTGTTTAATTACAGTCATATAGAGAACTGGTTGAAATTACTTCCAAATCATTATTTTTTTCTGGATATACCCACATTCATCCAGTTAAATCCTCTCAACATGCAATAACAGCCCTTATGGGGAAGAAAAAAAAAGGAAAAAAAAAAATATTATATCTTTAATAAAGCATTTTATGCTGTCCTATATAAATCTTCATGGGTAAGATGTTAAAGCTTTCGCTGAGTGTACAGAGAGTGTAACTGAGCTACAGAGGGTACAAAAATGTTGAAATGCTTCTAATCATCAAATTTTACTTCCAGCTCAGAAAGTGGCATGACATTGGGCCTCTTTACACTTGGTGCTGTTATATATACTCATTACTCTTGATTAATTTGATTTAATGATTTCAGGTTTGTAGAAAACCTAAAATTTTCTAGCAAAGAGTGGCTATCAGCATAATGAAAAGGATAAATAGAATTCTAAATATTCTTGATAAACAGGGGAAAGATGATGCTATTCATTACAAAGCAGGTTCAGGTGTCTACATTTAGATGAGGATAATATCTACAAAGGCAGAAAAAGCAGATAGACAGCAAATCCACTGGAAAAAAAAAAATTGCTGAACTTCAAGTAGACAAGTGTGAAAAAGAAGTCATAGTAAAAGAAAAAGATCACATTCTTGGAAAAGGGCAAACTTCATACTAGGTTGTATAAATACTAGTGGCACCTGTAGGACAACGGAAGGGAATGTTCTCTCCCTTTATAAAACCCAATCTAGCATCCTCT